AGTGTTGACGGAATTTACGGCGGGCTCCTCACACGGCACCGGCGTTGCGTGAGCAAGCACGGTCCCCTGTGGGAGCACCACCGTCTGCGAGCCCACGTTTAGGACCGCGATGAAGGGTTCACTATCCCCTCTCACTATGGTCTGGGCCGGTAGTAAATCAGGTCCACTAACCCCGGCCCTAGACGGTCCCAACAGTACCCCTTGCGCCCCGGCACCCTTAACGAGGGGCCGCCGAAGCTTCAAGGGCACCAACATTTGCGTTCCCGGAGGAACGCGTACCGTTCTCTCCACGAACGCCGGCACCGTCGCGAACGCCGTCCGAGTCGCAACCGGTGATGGCAGGAACGCCATGCGTCTGCCCGATGGAAGCTCTATGCACCCCTGGTCGATCAAAATTACAATCGGCATTTTGGCCAGGAAGTCCGTCCCCAGCAGGCACGGAACCGCCAGCGAGGACGAAACAAAAATCGGCCCAGACAATTTAATTTCCCCAATACAAATTTGGGCACGAATTTGTCCGATGATGCCAAGTGAGCCCCCGTTAGCCGCATAGAATGGTACGTTAACAGGCATCAAAGGACGGCTCCGGACAGGGAGAATATTGTAAATTAATTCCGAAATAATAGTCGCCGATGCCCCCGTATCGACCAGGATGCGCACTTCCACCCCGTCGATATATCCTACAACGGCCGACGACCCCGACGATGCGGCAACCACACGATCGGCCAGCACGGACCACTGGCCGGGTTCGATATGGGTACCCGGAGTGGTGCGTGATGGTGCGATGGTGCGTGATACCGGCCCCCCTCTCGTCGCGGTGTTTGAGTGCGTGACGGGTGTGTGTGTGGGCCAAACGTGTGGGGTGCCGCGACTCGCCGGTTTTTGACGGTGGAGCTTGGGATGAGGCCCGTCGTCCCGGTGAGGTGTCGTCCCGCGCTGACGAGGAGAGCGGCACCCCGAGGCGACGTGGCCCCGGACGCCGCAGTTATAACACCGCGGGAGCGATGTCGGAGGTGACGAGTGGTCGGAACGGCCTGACCCGTCCTGGCCCGGCCGTGCACTCGTCGCCTGTTGCCGTCGGTGGTCGACGGCGTAGAGTTCCTCCGTCGGAAGGGTGGCTGCAGCCACCGCACGCCCCGCCGATGCCCTGCTGGCTTTGCGTCGAAGCGACAGGAGGTTTGCGTGGAGGAGCCGCGCCGCCTGGAGCGATGTCATTTCCGCGTCCTCCTGTGCGACGACAGCGATGTCTAGATCGTCGGCCAGGAGGAGTATCTTCTCCGTTACCATAGCGTCGATGCCGTCGTCATCCATCCGGGGGAAGGCCGACTTGGCCATCGCCAGGAGGCTCGTTCGGTACGCTAGGGGCGACTCCTTCTCTCCCCGCTTGCGGTCGTAGAACTCTTGTCTGCATTCCGCCGACGGTCCGTAGACCCCTCCCAGCAGCTGCAGCGCCATCGGTAACGTGGAGCGCCTTTCCTTGGGTGCCGATGTTAGGGCGGCAAGCGCGTCGCCGTCCAGGAGCGCCGGCAGGGCGCTGAGAGCTTCTTCGTCCGTCCATTTAGCCATCTCCTGGTGGGCGAGGAAGCGTCTTTGAAAGCCGCTCCAGTCGCCCTCTGCGCCCACGAATTCTTTAAGCGGGGGCAGCCTTTGGTGTAGCGCAGCGGCTGCCGTGGAGTCCCGTGGACTGCTGCCTCCCCGACTCGGCTGCGTCTCGGCGCGAATGGCAGATGGCATCGCCTGTCGCAGCTTTGATGACGCGCCCTCCTCCGTCGTTGATGCAGCAGCCCCAGCGCGGCCGATGTCGGACCCCAGGTTGAGGTTGGCCACGCCCCTAGCGGTCGCTGCGTCGATGGCGGGAATTTCAAAATTTAAATCTTCAGAAATGGCGGGAAGACGCTCCCCACGCCGGTTCCTCTCGCCCCGCGGTGGACCACCAGCCGCCAGCCGTGTGATGTCCCCCAGCGCAGCGGCAGCGGCGTAGAGCAGTTCCGCCAGCCTCTCATGAGCCAGCCTCAGGTCGTCTCCCCGCTGCTCCTCTTCATGGCGATGCTCCGGTAAGCCCGCATCCGGCCCCGGCTGCACGTCGTCTAGTAGAGCCATCTCGGGCTCGGCAATTTCGGCGGCGTCCTCCGCCCGCTGTTCCCTGGCTCGAGCTGTTTGGCGCGTGTCCATGTTCTTGGTACTTCTGACGCCAGATGAAGTGTTGTTGAAGACGCGTGGACAACGGGGTAAGGCACACGTATTTATTTATACAAAGGGCTTACAGTACTAGAGGGATGTATCGGCCCCCTCACCCGTACAACTGGGAATTCACCCCTAGCTAGCCTTCCTAGCTGAGTCCTCCGCTAACGGGCTAGGGGAGGCTGTCTGGCCCGACACTGGTTAGTCGGGCTACGGTACCCGGAATCCCAGAGGTCTGACTCTGGTTCCGGGACCACGCCACTGGCTCCAGCCTGCACTGCCCTTACAAGGGCGGCGTCCCAGGGGGAGTCCAGGGCCTATCTGGCTGGTCTTCTCTCTTCTCTTAACTACTCTAAGACTGAGCCCCGAGCTCTCTGGCTCAACCCTTTTTATACCCCGTTAGAGGATCGAAACCCCCCTCACGCCGTCCAGTACGGACGTCGTTGCGGGCACCACCCCGTGTGCTCACGGAGACCCCGCCCACTGTGTCTGTTTTCCATTAGCCCCTATGTAAACAGCCCTACACAAACAGACCCTCTGTAACAGCCCTACACATGCATATCTGGGTCTAAACATGGACCCAGTTACAAAATTGTAGCGATATTATTGGATAGAATTGTATTATAATGAATTAAACATATACCCATCATGTATACATATCCACAAAAACACAAGTGTTTTATTTAAATCCAGGTAAGAGCCAGTTGAGATGAAAAGTATCTTTGTTATGGAAAACTTTCTATGTTATGTGCATTAAGATTTGTTTAATATGGTCTACATTTCCCTGTGTACATAAGTACTAATGAACCAGATACGTTTCACACTATTATTTATAGTTTACAATTGTACAATGGAGACACAAGGTTCTTGAGCCACATTTCTATTCAAACACCAGACGAATCCATGTAGAATAATGCAAACAATGTTATAAGGTAGAAGCACATTTTGACAACATAGATATGGGGTTTTATGTCATTATAGCACAGAGGTTTCTGGATATCTCCAAGATGGTGTTATGCACTTTGTCTGCTGTGGTGGACTTGCATATTGTGTTTGAATTATCAGTGAAACAAAATATCCAGCCAGAAAACGTTTGAAGGTGAGTGATTTTCTGCGTTGGTTGGCGATTATTGGTCACGAAGAACTGTGTTTGAATGGTGCAAATGCCTCAAAGAGAGAGAGCCGTAAATTTGTCACGGATGATGCACATGTTCATCAACAACCCAATGTTGTGGACTTTCACTAACACAAAATGCGTGGGCCACTTGATTTCGGACTTCCTTTGAATGAATGCACGTGATTTTACAGCAGGCCTTTGTTGGGAATGTTCAAACATTTATTCACGCACATGCTTACTTAAATGACCAGCACCAGTGACAATATCTGTAATATAATCTGCAATAATAATACAGCCTGATTTTGTTTGTTTGTAATATTGTGCTTGTGTAAAACTTTCAACTCAACAAACCACAATACAAACAATTCCAAACGTGCCGTCACACACTGAAAGCCACCGACTAAGTCAGCTTTTATCTGTAACAATGGCCAATCATAGCCCAGTGATGTCGGTTATTTTCCGACAGTGAACACTGCCCTAAGTTCTTTCTGGTTTGATTTCCAAAAATCATTGGGGAAGACATGAATATATATATTTTTCAACGCATGAACTTTCTTATACCATTGGAGCACTTTAATCAGTGTTATATATACAGTGTGTGAATCTAAGATAATACGTTTTCTCATTTGTGACAGTTTAATTCACTTCCTTGAACATATCCTATATGTAAACCATAACTACGTCTATGCTATGGTGGCGTTGTCACAGATGGGAACATTCGACAGTTGCGGGAGAAGGAATATTTGTAAATGTGGCACTGGTGTGTGTGTGTGTCCATCTCAAGTGCCATTTTATGGTGTCACAAATGCTTTTAATATTATGCAGTATAAAGCCTGTAATATTATTACTGCAATACACTGCATTGACAAGGAGAGAGTGCGAGGCAATGTGGAGGGTGGTGGCAGGGTGGAGCCAGTATTCAAGGTAAAAAACCAACAACTATTGTACACACAATTATAAAGGATTGTTATTTCTGTATAATGACCACTGTATACGATATGTATGGATAAGGTGTGTGTTTTTAAGGCAACGAGCTTAAGTTGAATGGTGTGAACATTTTTGGTAATTTACTCGGAATGTTATAAACTATTGTAACACCAATTGACAAATATTTCCCACTCCTTAAATTATATTCGTATTAAGATTGTCTTTGTAAATCAAGGCTAGGCTTCCGGGGTTAAAATTATGCCTTCAAAACAATTCGTAGGAGAAAAAAAACGCCACTGCACGTGGTGGATGGTTGTCTGTCAATGCTGGCCGTGGTATAGAAACTTTTTAGCCAGAAATGCACTCAATGGGTAAATGTACATCTACAGTACATTAGACTTTATGAATTTGTGTGTGATACAGTTGAGAATCTTGAATGTCTCTAATGGCACTGCATCTATATATGCTATGAAGAAGAGCCATGTCCCAAAACTATTATAGATATCTCCTTTTAAGGCCACGGTGTTATTGACAAATGTGGTTAGGGCTTTTTGTATGTATGTGCTGCTTGCTGCTAGCTAGCCGAGTTTCTGGTAAAGGGCAATAGGGGTGTGTGTGTGTGGGGGGGGGGGGAATTATCGTGCATTCCACCTCTTTGGCAACCCAGTACGTTCTGACCACGGTCACACACCCACGCAAGCCTCTCTCTCTCCGCCCCTAAAACCCAACCCCACGCAACCCCTACCCCAACCACCAGCGCACAACACACACAACAGACAGACAGACCACTCCACACAGGCAAGGCAGCAGGCAGCAGCGGCAGGCGTCAATGAGTTGGCGGCGCTGGGCAGTGCCGGTGGGATCGGGAAGAGAACGAGAAGGAGTGATCGGCCACGAACCTGGCACAGACGATCACAAACAAAGTTCCAGGCATAGAAACCCCCAAAAGTTCACGGCACTGGCGGCGGAGCTGAGCGACATCGAAGTACCGGGTTACGAGTTTGGGTGAGTGGCGAGCACATGTAGGGTGGCTGGGGGTGACTCCGAGTGGGTTTTAATTGAGTTTTTTTAATTTAATTTTACTTTTTAATGTTTTATTTTATTTTAAATGTTTTTATTTACCTACGTGACTTTACCGGAAAAAAACCTAAGAATATGAATCATTGCAGTCACGAAAGCTTCAAATCTAGAATTTAATTGAGTTGACGTGCGGATCATCCGTGGCTTTCGTAGGCTACGGATCAAGTCAATTGGGGATTTTGTACGTAGAGTGGGTGGTGGTGGTGGTGGTGAATAACGTTGGTGGCTTTTTTGGGCATGTTAATAAAGTGAATCGTTGGTCACTGGGGTTAGTTATGCGTGTAAGTCTACGCGTGTACAGTTGCCTTCTTGTTTGTATTGTGACAACAATGGAGGAGGCCTCTACTGCAGGTGTCCTTGCTGGTGTGCTCAATGTTGTTTTCAGACCGTGCTTGTTGTCGGATGTGTTTAATTATTAGCAGGTGATGATGAGAAGCTGGAATTCCTCGAGTCAATGAAATGCGTATCACGTATATACATCCTGCTTAGATATTATTTAAAGTTTAAGTAAAAAAAACAATTGTTGTTTTTATCCAGATGCGTTGAGAATTAAACGTTTCGTTCACGTACATGCCTTACATGTTTCGGTCGAGATTCAGTGGCAGAAGTGCTTTAACAGTCACCTACTTTATTCTTCAGATATTCATTATCAGAGGCCAATGTTTCCCCTATCACATGAATTAATATACTCATAATCCTGCCCCAAATGAATCCCAAACCTGCCCCTTACTATAACAAGGGCCATGCATTGGGATAGTTTGAGAGCCAGCCTTACGTACCTTAGTTTAGTCTCATATCACATCACAGTACTGTACACTAACAATAAACTAGTGCAGCCTTCTCAACCTACACACAACCTCAAGTAAACATTACGCAAACTTGACACTTATTTTGAAGGATACAGTTTTTATTTGATTTGGGACACCTTTCTTGGACGTACGAGGTGTAGGCTGGTTACATTGTTCAAAAGAGGTTCCTGCAAGGCACTGTGTGATAGTATCTTTACTTGGCAATGTACCTGCCGACGTATTCACAAGGTGGTTGGAATTCTAGCCGATGAAATGTGAACATTGGACTCAAAGATGGACAAACCCACACAGTAAATTTGAAAAATGCTACGAACTGAAATGTGACGCAAACTAAATCTTAAGCCACCGTTCAAGTGACTTGAAATGCACTCGGCATCACTCCTTTTTGACATTTGCGGTGCTTTTATTCAGAACAGCCGTGAGATTTCACAGTTACTTTGCAGTATTTAAAAATCTACCAACGTCCGAGTCCGTTAAATGTCCCCGTGACATCACGGGCATGCGGAGTGATGGGGCTTTCGAGATGTGGCAACACGAAAACCACACGGGAGGACTCTCATACCTCTCTGGGAACCCACTGACTCTTCTCTCATGCTTCTGGCCAACAGCTGCAGTGTTCATTGGATGTTAGACGTAAGTGTTGTTAGCGGGAGGATGCTAATACAAGTGTGAAAACGTTTACTTGGTACATCGCGTAAGAATGTTTAGTTTACCATGCTAGTGACGCGTTATGATCGCACACTGCTATCATTACATACGTTTCAGCCGTGTGAATGGCCTTGTGTAAAATGTTTTCAATGATTATGTGTTGGTGTTTGCTTTGTGTATCGCTACTTAAACACATTGAGTGGAACTGCCTGGTAAACAGGAATAGGGAAGGTTTGGATGGTTGGGGGGGTCTGTAATGAGTTGCAAAATGTTATCAAATTGGCGTAGCTAATTTAATTCAAGTTGCGAATATCCATATTTAAACCTGCCAAACACATTTACATTGCTTATGCCATAATGTTGTCAAGTATAGCCAAGGAATTCCTTGTTGACTTGTGCAAATCATTTCTGGAGGGCTTTAGCTACAGACCCATGCACTCCATCTCAGTGTTTAGAACAAAACTATGCACAACATACATGTGTTGCCTAGTTCCATGGAATAGATGAAAACAGAAATGTGAAAAAGTCCATAAATTCATCCGAGATGAGAAAGTTCCCCAGGGTTTTATTTGCGACGAAATGGTGTGTCAAAAATAGCAGGGTTGATGAGACACTAGACACAACTGTTACTTGTAGCATTTTCGAGACAGGCGGTGGCATAATGATAATCTCTTAACTCATTCTTGGAAGAGATGAAAAGATAGTAATTGAATGGAGGAAGTGATGTCATTGATTTTTTAAAAAATGACCTCTGTTCGGTGTTGGATGTGTTCTCTGTAATTTATAGAGCGGACATTCCAGCTCTAAATCTTTACTGGAGATCATCCTTTGAAGTTTTCACTCCACACACTAAACTTCAGCCAATAGGATATCAGTTGCCACAGCAGTAACGTTTGATCACCAGGGTGCCCTGCATACCATTGGCTGGGACCTTACTCTGTGAGCGAACCTTGGGAATTAAGCTGGGGTGAACCATACATGGTTATGGGCGAGATTACAAGCTTAATGAGCCCTACCAAAATGTGGAATGTCCCCTGTGCCCCCCCCCCCCCCCTTTCACATAAGCCTGGCTTAGTCCGATCTGTAGTGGCCTGTGAAGTGTGATTTACTAAGGTACCAGAAAATAGTATCCAGGAATGTAATGTACTGTATTTTAAAACAATTTTAAACTACTTGCATATGTAGAACTGAAAGTAATATACGGACCTACAACACATTTTGGAACTGTTACAAAGAAATACTGGATTGTAATATACGTGCTTTCTTTACAAATTGGCAACTTGAAGTTGCTTTATGTGTGTGTACGCACTATGGTACACATTACTATTTTTTTAAGGATGATCCTGTGCTCTGTACTGTATTTGCAACAGTTTCAAAATTACGTTGAATACAGTGGGGGGGGGGGGGGGGAAACATGTCACACTAGTTGTGTGGTGTTGTGTATCACCATAATCTAGAGCGATGAGACTTTTATTTTCATAATTATGGGTTACACAAGGCAAGGCTTTCCTCTCACAATGTCAGACCCAGCTGGAACCACTAAAATGAATGCATATTTTAGTACGTATGTATTACGGTTGTGGACGTGCCTGATAGGACAATTCTCAGTCTCATTTAGTACTGGAATTGTACCATCAACAGATTTTGTTTTCATGAACTTACTAAGTGCATGCAACTTCAATTATACTTGTTTATCTTTCACAAAGTTGGATATGTGACGTACACCCCTTGCATCTACTGGCCAACCTGTATAACAGGAATGCGTTTTACGTATATGGTTATTGGTATGACGATAGAGTGAGTACATTATGCAGAAAGCAGGACACGTGTAGACTACCAGATACAATGACTAATACCAACCTTGATGTGGGCTTCCCTCTGATTAACACGGTTGGCTGCGTACGTAAAACAGTTCTACAAACATAATACATATTAAGTGCATCTAAAATGTCAGCTTCATGGATGATGATGATGGCGATGACAAAAGAATGTTCCTCAAATGATGCCAAACTGGTTCTTGGGTCCAGTGTACACATTATACACATTAGGCAACCCTCGGCTCCAGTTTGCTTTCAATCTCAACAATGGCGATTCTTTTTTTGTACTATGTAGCACAAAAGCACACGTGCTGTGGACATTATACATTACGGAATGCGTGCCTCTTTGTAAAACTGCATATGTACACTCCCCGCACTGTTTTCGTACACGGCCAGTGTTATTATAGTAGGTTGGTGAAAGTCCCGATATGTACCAGCCCTCGTGCCCATGAATCCTGGTATCCGTGGGGTGCAGTGGAACTTTGATTCATCCTGTTATCTGAGAATTTATGGACAACGGGGTGACCACGGACGGAGATGGTGTTTCAAAATATGAAACCTCTAACAGAGGGCTCTTCGCATTCTGATTTACAAAATAAAAAAAGTCACGTGATAATTCCATATCCTGTAATGATTGATGTTAAGGTTTAGGGCTTTTAGATACTGTACAATGGGTTTTTCATGGAAAATGGGAAAAACAAGGAAAAGAAAGTGCCTTTTTGGTTATCCGCTTTGCTGCATGCCTTACAGGTAGGAGTTCTACTTTATACATACTGTATACAACTATATTAGCATATGTTATACTGTGCAAAAAAATACAGTTCAGTGTAATGGAAACAAAATATGCATATACAATTTGCATGTTATATAAATTTTAATAAAGCAAGGTATACTCTTGCTCAACCAGCCGTATTGAGAAAATAAAACACACAGCCCCTATGAACCTTAAAAGTGTTATTGGTGAAAACTTTTGAGATGGGATTCCTCCACAGCTCTGTTGACGTCTTGTGGGCTTGTGGGTGATGGCTGCAGTCATCCTTGCTCCTGCTGTCAGCCAAGTCAGCAGCACCACGAGGTGGTGTCACTTTGCGATGGCAGTGGCGGCTTGGGTTTAACGTCGACCTACACATTCCATTCCCATTACCCAAAGAAAGAATGCAGCGTTATTGTTGGCAGAAAGGTCGCAACTTGGCCCGCTTGACGCCAAGCGGTCTGCAATGGTCGATGTTGCTTGGCGCTATTATTAAGGTCCTCCCACCTCCTCCCGGATCATTTGTAAGCTTCTCAACAATGTTTAACATTGCGCAGGCAGTCTCGTGGTTTTTATGGCCAGGGGACTTGCAATGGGTTTTGTGGTTTACCACCTCGCAGTGTTGCGTAACCTATATACTAGCATGGTGGTGTTTGAGAGAGAAAAAAAACAGGTAAACGTATAGACATTTTATAAAATCATATTTACACACAGACATATGAACCTTATGGCTGTACCCCGGCTCTCGCGTAATGTCCGTGAGGCAGTCATTTTTAGTCTGTTGATGGTCGGCGATGCGGCAATCGACTCATTTCGTCCAGCTGTACACGATGTACCACCACGGTGCGTTCAGGATTTCAGAGAAATCGTCCTCGCTGCGTTTCGACATCTTGGTGTAGCACCGATTTCGGATTGATTGGAACTCCAGTCGCGGAGTTAAGTAAAACCCCTGGAAAAAATAGTGTCCCAGAAATAAAGTATTTAATTTGCCACGGCCCATTTTGTATTATTTGCTACCCCGGGGTACCGCCACATCGAAGAAAGATTTAATAAAAACCTACTTGTTATTCAGAACTGTGGTGCTCACATTGTAGCATTGTGCATTTCTGTTTGATGTTGCCGAGCCAGTGAAGGGAATTCTACATCGCTGTCAGAATCTTTCGACTTGAAATCCGATGAGCTATGAAGCTCTTTTATTCGCAGACGTCCTATGGCAGCCATTGTAGCAGTATACAATACTATATATGTGTAGGGGTGTCAGCGGAAGGATTCCCACCAATAGGCGGGTTAGTGGGAGGGGTGATCGAGGAGATATAAGGAGAGAACGGGCGGGAAGAGGGGGCCTTTGGCGGGAACGATATTGGGACGGCTGGGGACAGGTGTGGATGGGAGAAAAGGATTAAAGGACGAGACCCCTGCAATCTTGTGTCGGCTCTTCTTTACATATGTAGAGACTATATTTACTACCCGGCTTCGCCCGGGACTTGGATTATTGTCTTGGATTAATACACGGCCTACTACGCGGAGGGTGGGGGGGGGGGGTGACGTCAGTAGGCACACTGCGTGACGCTGCCGCATGCGGGTGACATTACAGGTGTAACGTCACCGCTCACTTGCCGTGCAAAATATATCCATTATTGCACCCCCAAAATACAAAAGTCTATTTTTATGCTTTTTGCATTGTGTACAGTCTGGAAGCTACCCACATGCCAAATTTCAACTTTGTTGCATGTCGGGAAGTATGCTAAACATTTCGAACAGATACACACATTTACAAATTTCCCTTTTATATATATAGGCTATATATATGGGCCACATTCCCATCCCCTGGCAACAGTTGAAACGCATCGTCTTGGCGATGTCTCTGTAACAATAAAGACAGAGTTTGCCCGTGAATTATAGTGTACAGTATAATACATGCTTGGCGAGACGTACATGTATTTCTGAACACTACTGTACAGTAATATATACATCCTGTTTCTTTAAGTCGAAAATTATACGGTATGATTAAACTACATGTCAGCATTGCTGAGTTTACTTTAGTTTAACGAACATAGATGGCATGGATTTCATTATGTAAATTATATTTTTCATTAATATATAAGTACTGTAGTATGGTTGTTGACGTTTTTTCAATGTGCCCTTGTTTGAGTTTCAATAACAAAAATAATAATCCCAACATCCTTTTAACTAAATATTTATCCAGCATTAGCATGTCCTCTAGTGCCATGCACAATGCAGTTTGCATGCGAGGCTACTGTCTTACTGTAATTGTTAAATATAAATATTTGTACTCCAGCCAATACTACAGGATAATCTACAGGATCATACTTCCCCCCCCCCCCCCACTCATGTACTCAGAATAAATTCGAGGGAGCCTCTTCAGTGTCCCTGGCTAAGGCACAGGCCAATTAAACTGGCTGTGGGAAAGTGTCTGGGGGGGAAGTGCTAAAGTGCCCTTTCTGCCGTGCGAGAACGATGCGATTGCAGGGCCCACTGGGCTCTTATCACAAGTCCGGGCTTGTCCAACGGAGAAGCCAAATTGCCCACGATGTGTGTTATTTCTTTCAATAAGCTACCAGCCATGCAGAAAGGGCCCCCCCCCCCCCCCCCATTTTAACCGTGTGACTGGAAGGCGCTCACCGCACTCTTGATTTAGTGCAAGATGTAGTGTGTAGATTTAACAGCTGCAACGGTAGAGGCTATCTCATAGAAGCTTTCGTTCAGGAAATGTAAGCGTTACTTCGAATGTGGTTGTTACCTTGCATGTGCGCGCGCATCACAAACTCATTTAATCTTGTATATACGAGTTGGTGAAATGGAGATCCAGGACAGGTTCAGATAGCACTTTCCAGTGAAATTGCACATGTTCATAACAGGAAAAAAAACCCTTTTCTGGAATCCTACATGGCGCAGCATACAAACCACTACACATCCGCCTAAACACAAAGATCCCCCTAGATTATAGAGGCTGGCAACTTGCGGCTCTGGCGCCGCATGCGACTCTTTAAGGACTGCTTCGTGATGTTATGTATTAAGGACCACCGTTTCGTATTCACATGCATTGCGGCTATTGAAATATTGTTTTTTTTACCGAATTTGAAAAAAAATGGCTATTGTTATTTTCGTTACCGACACCTGGCCTCGAAGGTGTATACAAATTATTGGGACAAGGTATTTGAGTTTGCACACACACTGTTAGAAGGCCAGCACAACTCACGAAGAGGTGGTGTGGCAAATACCAAGCCCATTGATTATGTTTACACACCACACCAGCTACAGATTTTAAGGACTGAGGGGGGAGGCTCAAGCCAGGTGAAGACACTACTTTCCACTAATGTTAGCCATAACCAGTATTCAGACACTGTAGAGGATGCTGGGTTTATCGTGCACTGTGCCAAGGGCACTTCTGTACCCCTCTACACACGCACACACACCTGTTTAACCCTTACATTATTAAAGTGTACCAAAGATAGTAAAAAAAACTCGTGACTTTGATACAAAATGGCCTCCAGCCCGCTTCATATATATTTTTTATTTAGTTACTCGACGAGGCTGATTGCGTGCGTATGTGTCGGCATGGGCGTTGCAGGCCACAGGGCATCGGGCTGATGCAGGATGGCGGCCCAGAGGATCCGTGCCGTGCAGGCGGCCGACATGTCCCGCAGTCACTCGGAGGGCGACCTCATCGACTTTGACGCCGACGACGAATTTTCCTCAAAACGACTCTCCGACAGCATACCCGGTAGGGCAGCGCTCGCGACATTGTTTCCGCTAAGGTGGCCGATCATGGGATGTGACCGTGGAATAGTTGGTTCGCACCACTTGAGCTGCGATCCAGGGGTCACCATTTCCGATTCGATCTCCTGATAGCAATAGGCAACTCTCTTAAATACGTCCCCAAGCTCTGTCCGCTTGACTATTGCGATTTTTCTTTTAAAACTTGCAATGACATGCTCCTACAAACGTTGCCAAAGAGTTTTACACATTTACACTTTCCAGCATGCCTTGGTAATTCGTTGCAGAAATCGCCAAGCGTCTGTGGGATTTGGCTCGTCGGCCACGTGTGAAATGGGTATAGTGGCAAGTGTGAGCACCAAGCTGTCCGGTTGCCAAATTAAATAATATCTCTGTAGTCCTCGTCATAATCCGATGCACCATATTACTCATGTGCCGTATTTTGGGCTCATTCTCAAATACAAATATATTTGTTGTTACTGTGAGCAGTTTTCCTATAATTTTACTGCTAACATATAATTAGATCATGGCTGCTGATGATGGTGAAGACATGATGAAGACATTTAATGTCTCTTGTAGAATATAATTTTCCCTTGTATTTAAAAAAAAACTGGCAGTGGTTTTAAACTGAATTATGCTTTGCAAAAATGATGACTTTTTTCAAATGGAAATCTGCGAATATATTTGAGGTTGCCTGTTATAAATGTTTTGTACAGTATATTAATATTGTCACGGGTGTTGTATTAAGATAACCATGGTCAATGTAAGGGGAGAATGTTCATTATGTAATCAGGAAACTGAACCAAATCATCAAAGCCATACAGGCATATATTGAAGTTGCCTTGATGTAAAGTGCCGGATGATGCAGAAAATACGGTTCACAGCTCAGGGGGACGCCCCTTCACTGTAAAGACCATCGTATGACGGAGCGACCCTCGCGTGTTTCCCGCGCAGCGAACGCGTCATCGCCCTTCGCCAAGAGCTCGGTGTGCGAGGTGGTGGCCGTGCGTGACTTCTCGCCGGCCGTCTTCCCCGCGCTGTCCATGCAACGAGGCGACCGCCTCTCCGTGCTCGACACTGCGGGACCCGAGTGGTGGTACGCACGCAATCACCGCTCTGCCGGCTTCATCCCAGCGTCCCACGTGCGCCCGCTCGACGGGGCGGCGCCCCTGCGTCGTGCGCTCGCAGACAGTGGCATGGTGGACTCCGGCGAGGGGGACAGCGTGGAGAGCGAGACGGATGGGTCCTCTGGTGAGGGGCGGCCTCTTGCAGAGACGCCCGGCCGCGCAGAAGGCGCCGTCGCGCTGACGGAAGTTTCGCCGGCAGAGCGGCCGATGCTCGCGAACGGCGACGCCGGGGACCGCCACTCCTGCGCCAGTACGGGTGACCTACTGCTGGAGCGCAAGATGGGGAACAACCCGTTTCTGCAGAGCGCTTACATTTCGAACCCATTTCTGAATGATATTATGACTCCAAGTCCTTCAAACAGTTTCCACAAAGCTGAAAATACGTCTGCCGAAAAACTGTTGTTTGACTTCGATTCCAAAATGGTTCTGAGGAACGGTGTCGTGAGTGCAGACTCTGAACCGCAAAATAACATCGCGTCAAGCGGCGTTTACAGTTCCAACGACGTCTTTGCAGTGGACAACTCTGATGCCTTGGTGTGTATGGACTTGAACATGGAAAAACTTCTGAGCCGGCAGATGCGATCTGGCAATGGCCAAAAGCCCAGCAGACACGATAGTGGGAGGAACAACAAACAGAGGTCGCACAGCCTTTCGGAGCTGAGTGCCATGCAAGCCACGCAAGCGGGGCAGGACACGATGGACTTCCTGGACCCACTGGGCAAACCCCTCACTCAGGACTATGGTTCACTCCACGACCGAGAGGCCTACCGGACGGCCTGGCTGCAGCAGCGTCAGATGACGCGGTCGTGCCACAACCTGGGTGCCCTGTGCCGCAACCCCGGCTGGGGCCAAACACAGCCTCTCCAGACCCAGGCTGTGTTCCGGCTGGAAAGCTCGGGGGGCTCCGTGCAGGTACCCGAGACGTCCGTGAAGCTCCACGCGGCGCCTCTGCCGACGACCTCTTGTCTGGACGACGACAATGGTGCCGGCGTCACCAGGGAGGTCAGACTCAGGGCCCTGCTTGACCCGCCAATCAAGCTGAGCGGAGACATGATGACGGCCGTCAGCCCCGTGGTAGAGGTGCGTCTTGTTGGCCACCCAGTGCTGAACCCACTGATGCTGGAAATGAGGGTGGCGGCTCACGTGAAAGAGGATCCGCTGAGCCAGAAGTGCGCTGAAATTGTGTGCCTGGGTGCAGAAAATCCCGAGGGCCCCTACGCCCTCCTGCCCGAATCCTATGTCCATGGAGACATCATTCATGTTCAACTGGACAATAAAAGGCATTGTATCTATGTGGTCGCAGTGGCCCAGTTGAAGAGCAATGGTAGTTCACTTCCGTGGGATGCCCTGCAAGATGCGGAGAGCATCAAAGAGGCCCTGGTTAGCCAACCACGTGCAGTATCTGAAACCTCGTCAAGAGAGCAGCAGGTTGTTTCACAGATGGCACAGAATGCAAGCGGCAGCCGAAGTTCCCACACAGGAAAAACAATATGGGATTTCATTCGAAGACAGATGACACTGGCAGTCTACGGGCCAAAGCACCTGCACCCGACCTTCACTCTAGTGCTTGCACTGTTTGGTCACTTCGAGGCTCCATCTACTCTGCCTTCAACAGACACCAACTGGGAAGGCAAAGTGGGAAAGAAAAGCCACCAGCAGCCAATTGGGCTGACTCTTTGGGGGAAGCACGAATTCATCTTGAACAGGCCACAGAACGTGGACGTGTCGCTGTTTTCCAGCGAGCAAAATGTGCAGGTCACTGGCTCCAAATCGGGATCCGCCAAGAGCTGCTGCACCGTGCGGGGTTTTCAGCTGCGCCTGGGCCGCGTGTGCCGCATGGCATTCCAGCTTTCATATCACGACTCGTCGGTAGGCCTCGCCGCGTTTGCACTGCGGGCGCAGCTGCACACCGACGCCCAGGAGCTGCTTACTCAGTTCAGCGTGACGACTCCACCAGCTACAGCGCCTGGCAAGGTGCCCGCACCGCGGCGCTTTGTCAAACGCAAGGAGCTCGGCAGGTCCTTGCTCTCCTCCATCTCCTCGGCGCCACCCTCGTTCACGGTGCTCGCACATCGGTCTGCTGAGGCAGCCACCTTTCGAGAGCATGACTTCACGATGCCTATGTGTGCCACAGCCCTGAAGACAATCGTGCGCCAGACCAAGTTCATGTACTTTTTGGAGTACAGGAAAGGAGCCACCATTGGGCTGTTGAGCAAGGAGAAGATCCGGGCCAGAGGCCATGCAAAGACCAAGGAGTGGTACGTGGGCTACACGAACGGCTGCGTAGGGCTGGTGCACTGCAAAAACTTGAAGCTGCTTCCAGACAACGAGCAGGTGGCTCCATCGGAAGTCCCGCACGTGAACACCGGCACCCTCCTCGAGCTCCTGCTACGCCCCTGCCACTCCCTCAACTTCAGCTGGTCCACGGTGTCCACGAAGGTGGCAGAGGGGCTGGCTGACTGGCGGCCGTTAGCCCGGGTGCTGGGCTACCGCGAGGAGGAGATGGAGGAGAGCTTTGTGGAGGAGGATGTGGACCGAGTGTCTGCCGTCCTGGAGAAGCTCAAGGGTGACTGCGCAGGTGGTGACGGGAAGAGGAGGTGCTTCTTGAAGGAGCTGTTTTCTGTGAGTATGGCCTTGCATTTTCTTTACGCAAGCATGGTGAATCTGAGGTTCGCGGAGAAAACCTATGCATACGAGACATTAACACTCAAACTCGACAAACAACTTACTTGTTTACTGCCACCTGAAAGGCACCATGCTGCTCGCTCTATGGTACTTCATACAATTATGAGGAATGATGACCCACGAACCACTTCGTATCAAGGCGAACACAATTGAGTTAACGTGGCCGATCATTAACAGCTCACCCACGGACCTTTTTCTTAATGCAATGGCCGATGTGCTTGCCGTTCCCCAGGCCCTGCTGCGCCTGGACCAACATGCCGTGGTGGTGCGCGTGCTGCTCGACTGCGTGCTGCTCACGGTATCCGTGGACCTGGGCGCCCGGTGGCGCGAGCTTGCCGCCCACTTGGCCAATGTCACACGGCAGCAGGCCGAGGCCTACGAAGCCCCACACTGCCAGGACGGGGTCCTCCTGCCTGAGGTCAGCCTCCATGTACAGCAGTGTTTTTCATTAATTTACAGAGGGGCGGCCACTTTCGCCAATAAAACATCCGTGCGAGGGCCACCGCACATTTGAAACCATTGGGTTTGACAGCACTATGGGGGTGTTTTGACATGTGTGTATTGTCGGGGGGCGCACATCAGGGGCCGCACTACAGGCCACCAGGGGCTGCCAGTGCTCTTTGGGTCTTGCAATGAAGAACAATGATATACAGCATCTATGTGCTGTAGAGTTTCCACTGGTCCTGGTTTTGACCAAATCGTTCTCTCTGAGGTAGCTTTCTCCAGTTGGTACTTGTGTTAGCGTAGGAGTTGTGCAAGTATATTTCTAGTTTGTGTATCGAGTAAATGTACCACAAGCCTCTCTTGCAAATGAGACCTTTTGTTTCACTGACTGTTCATGTGTTTCAATATTAAAGGTCAATGCTAGGTTAACCGATTCACAAATGCACGTAATAATTGCAATGTGAATTTCTATTCTGTGTTATGAGAATATTATTGTGCACTTTTATGCAGTTTGTGCTGTCGGCTTCAAACTATAATATGAGTAAACAATCATTCTCGCACCGAGGTGGTGACATAAAAAAACACACAACCAAAGTCACTTTAGCCCATCCATCCCCATTTGTTGGGCGCACCCTTGCACATGCTGCAAAGAGTGTTCGTCATGATGGCAATAAACCAGCAAGCTCCTCTGCACTGACATGCCGATTATGAGACCCCCCCCCCATCTCAACCTTCTGGCCGCACCTTACGAAAGTCTCTTCAAAAAACACTAATCGGTGTATCTGTTTCTCCGCCCTGTCCATCGTGCGCAGACGGTGTGGAAGCCGGCGTTCGACTTTCTGGTGACGTGGAGCGGGTCATCGCGCGAGGGCTACTGGGACACACTGCAGGAGATGCACACCGCGCTTGACCGCACGCGTGGCAGCGGGGCGGCGCGCGGGGACCGCGCCCTCACCGGCGTCCTGCTGCTTGCGCACGGCCTGGACACGCTACGAGCGCACGCCTTCCCAGTCGCCGATGGGTGACCTGCTCCTCTTTGTCATCGGGCCTTGCACTGCTGATGAAACTGAGTGAAGTTGAAACCTGTTCAGGCTTTGAATGTATATATGTTGAACTTATTTCGCGGCGTACATAGCCAACCGTGGCTAGTCCGGCCATGCTAAACACTGCAAGGATACATTGATCTGCAAAGTCGATTGATGGATTCAATGCCGTTTAGTTTTGGCGTTGAAATGAGAACCCCCTTTCCTGCGAATTTACAGACTGGAAAAAGTTCGCCACATTTACCTTTAATTCTGCCGACAAATAGAAAACTGTAAGCCAGTGTTTTAGGCAATAACGTTGAGAATTAAGCCACCGTTTAAGGCAATGGCCAGAAGAGGAACCATTTCCTAAAATGTTAGTATATATTTCAGTTAAAAGGCAGAGATGACAATGGCAATGATGAGGTGTGTTCAGTCTGTGCTTGTACACTGCTGCCAACACAGTTGTCTAAGTTTTATTTGTATGCTTTATTTATTTACTTTATAGCTTCCACAGTTCACCTGGATGGTGCATAATTATTATAAACGACTTGTAGTGCCATCTTCGTTTGCTTTGTTCTATCACATTGCAGAATTGTGCTTAACTAACCAGGATGGGCCAAGATTAAAAAGTTAAGCAAAAGGCATAGTCATGGCGTGTTAGCAGAAAATAGGAAGTTGCACACTGTTCTTCTACATTTGATTTAAAGCAAAGTAATAGATACTCTTTGGTTCTTTCGGTAAAGTCACGTAGGTAGAAATGTTTTATTTAGTTTTATTTTATTTCTACCTACGTGACTTTACCGAAAGAAACAGAGTATGGATTCCTGCAGTCACGAAAGCTTCAAATCAAGATCAAATAAATAGAAGGAAAATTATCACATCAACAAAAAATGAAGATTACACTTAAGTACAGGCCTGCCCGGAAACTTTCTTGAGATTTTGCGATAAGCACTGCCCATGCTGCTCCCAATGTTGACCAGACACAACTTGTCTGCAGATCACATTCCGTTCGCCTGCATGGCGGGAGATGTGAACTGTTTTGGAACAGGGAATGTAAATAAATCTGTTTTTTTTTAAAGTGAGCAGTTTGCTTATCATCACAGCCATATTAATACTTTATTTAAAGCATAAACCTAACTAATCTGTAAAAAGAGTATAACTGGTGTAATAGGATATTTTTTCCTATCTTTATTTTTTAAGATGCTTTTTTATCTTTTGTAGTTAAAGAATGAAGCCATATCTTGTATTTACGTGAAAAAGAATCCCACTTTCATTCATGTTAACACAAAGTGTATGGCTGTAGAAAGATTGCTGATAAAAAAAAAAACCTTCAATGTCAGTCAACATTCAATTGTAATGTTATCTTATTGATGTTAAAGTCATCGGGTTATATCGACCCTATAAATCGGTGTGCAAAAGCTTGCCTATGACCAAAAAGAGAATCCGATTTAATTGAACAAGGTTAAAGTGGATTGAACTGCATGTTGCTTGACACGTAGAACATGAAAACACAGCAGATAGCAATACAGCACAACCGAAAAATAACCTTGCATAGCTCGGTTAAAATAAACACATTACCAATTGTAATGACCGAGGCAGTAATTATATTAGCCTCGTTAAAAGTTCCATCACACAAGTCATGAGACAATCGTTCCATTGGCAGGCAATGTTGTCCACTATGGCCCTCTAGTGGTTGATAGCAGTATTGTGTAGGCGTGGCTCGGCTGCTTTTGAGATACACGATACAGCAGAGGTCCCCAACCCCCGGGCCGCGGACCGATACCGGTCCATGGCCTGTTAGGAACCGGGCCGCACAGCAGGAGATGAGCAGTGAGTCCGCACGTGTTGCCAGCCCATTATTTTATTTACCACTTCCATCCGCGCCTCTTTCCCGCACTGTGCACTTGTCTCAGTCACAGTTTTTGTAAGCCCACAAGCTAACCCCTAGCCAAAATGAGTAAAAAACAAACGTCGCTGAAAAATTGCCTTCCACAAAACCGGTCCCTGGTGCCAAAAAGGTTGGGGACCGCTGCTGTACAGTACAGGCAACGTATATTAATTAGTGGACTTTGAACTACTGCTTGTGCAACTATTTGCAGGTCACCTCGTGGGAGTATAACAAATTGGAATTTGTTCTAGGAGGAGGAAAACAAGTTGTGTCATTATGGGCTGAAAGTGTGCCTTGCTTACTGCTGGTGGGATTGCAATAGCTCACGTGAAAAATACCTTTGTCACCTATTTTAGACGTTTGAGATAATAAGGCTCTGGTTTCCATGCCTTATTATTATTATCCTTTGTGATGTGAAATATCGGTGGTGTCCCAAAAGGGGTGAAAGAAAGCCTCAAGGATTTCTACCCAGCCCATGGTGACATTTAAAGTGAAACGTTTTGTAACGAAAACATGACGGCAATTTGAAATTAATTTGTAAATATTTAAATATTGGTCATGTTTCTTACACAGTTACGCTTTTTTCACTTAGTTTGCTGTCAATAGTATGACATTTAAGTCTTGAAAATGTAAACAAAACAATCACTTAGCACAACACTCCAGTATATTATCGTTTCATGTTTTATTTAATACCGTAATTTAATTACATTCTCATTGTGCGCATGTTCAATTAGCCAGGCACACGCATTGTCAGAAAGGGAGCAAGTTGTTTTAATCTCACATTTTCAAGCACACGGGGTATGTTGTATCAATTTGCTCTCGCTTGTTTCACTGAAATGTATCTGTTGGCTTTAGTGGGACTGTACTAATGCTTTGCTATTTTCTGAAAACGCGTAATTCCTATCTAATTGGCTGAATACATATTGGTCCCTGCTGTCTGCAGCAGTGAAAGCTAAATTTTTGTCAACATCATTGCTGTATATATTTAGATGTAGCCTTTATCCAATACCTACCAGCGGTACAGGATGAACATTCAAGTGCCGCACTGCATTAGTGTTGGTTGCTAAAAATGAACTTGAGTCCACAACATTGTGCAGTCCATTTCTGGGGGCATGATAACTTCATTCTCCTCGGCCAGGTGTCGGCAAACTGCGACATTATTTATTACAAACCCAGCGTCTCGTATTCACTTGCTTTAGCGGCTCTTGTATTGAGTTTTTGACTGAATTCGAAAAAATGTAACCCGTAAAAACAAAGTTTTTCACTATAAATCCTTTATATGCGTGGCGGCTAGAGTCCTCTCGTCCTCTGGCTTGAGATGGCTGCCACCTATAGGTCAGATGATTGTCTGCCACCATTAAGCAATTGGTAATGAAATAATTTTTTTTTAAATTCCCTAAACAGTGTAAAATTTTGGAAATGTTTTTTCACAAAAAATAATTGTCACGCACAACGAGTCTGTGTGCAAAATGTCAGCTCGATTGGATCCCGGGCAGTGGGTTAAAAAATGACCGAAAGATTTGCACGGTCATAAGCAAGCACGCAAGCAGGCAAGCAAGTGAACTTAATATAAAGGATTTAAAAAATGGCTCTTGTCATTTTAGTTGCCGACCCCTGCGCTAGGCAGTGCGAAGGCCACATTCAAAACGGCAAGATGGATTACAACGCAGATGTTTCACGTGAACTTCCTCGTCAGAGGCCTAAGAAACAAGTGGGGTCAGCTGGCTTGCGATTTACGTCTCAGAGCCTCGGGCAAATCACTCAGAAAACATGTTCAAAACTGATCCATCCAGCCTGACTGCCAAAAGAATACGGCTGTAGCTAATATGACTGTGAGAATACAGTGGGGAGAACTGTAGCTGAAGTACCTCGTGGCCCCAGGACATTCCCAGTAAGCTGTTCTTGCTGTTGAAAGGATAATTATCCTCTTCGTGCAATCGGCTAACCTTCCCTCCCACCCACTTCTGTAGGGGGAAAGGCAGTCGGTTTGCTATGGCTTAATGTGTATTTATACATTTCTTGACTATTTATTTTCAGTTTTTCTCATTTTATAGATTTGCATGACTGCATTTTCTTAGTTAATATAGTTATATTTTTATTCTCGCATGAGTGACAATATTGTACATCAATTTGTAATCCTATAATGCCATTGTTTTCTTTTTTACAATTGTTGAATGAAAATGTTGTTTTTAAGCAACCTAGTTTCTGTACCAGAAAAAAAACCTTAAATTGTACAGAGTAATTGAGGTTAATACTGTTTATGTCATATGCAGGTGGAGTATATATTTAAATAACAATAGTTTTTTTAATCTTGATTTGAAGCTTACGAATCCATATACTTTGGTTCTTTCGGTAAAGTCACCCAGATAGAAAATGTATAGATCACGACGTTTCGATCGCAACACAAGCGGCCGTCTTCAGGTGAGAGACAGAGAAAGCTACTGAAACAAGGTCTTACACAGGCCTGAGATAGCTTTTGCTCACAGAGAAAGGCTAAGTGTTTAGGCTGGCTGATCTTCGGTATCAAAACATTCACCATCAATAAATTGAATCCATCTTTTGACTCCAGTAACTAAAGAGATTGTAATTAATATTCTGTATATAGTAAATAAAATAACAGTAAATTATGTTGTGGTTATTTTTCAAACATTACTATTTGAATGACCTACTGACTGTAGGGGTTGAATACTGTGCTAACATTTGAAAGTCATGAACGCTGAGTATAGGGACCCCCCCCCCCCCCCATTGCCATAATAAAGAATGAGCGCCCGTCACTGGTCAGCACAAGAGCTGCGGTTGCTTTAGGTTCACGCTCCACGTGTATTGTGATCAGACGAAGTCCACGTGCTCAATACGCGATGTTGTTCTCTTACACCCCGCAGTCGCATTACACGCCGCAGTGCTTTGTGAACGTGTCGGCGGTGCATTCTAGGACGAGGTGCGTGTTGGGCTCTGCTGTTGCTGTGTGGGAACATGTCTCGTGTTTGGCCGATGAATCTCGATGAAGTCGACGTTTTGATCACGCCATGGAACGATTCCTACACTCACGAAGGAGCCCCCTCTGCTGCGGTGTGTTTGGTGATAAAGAGTTCGATAGTCACTTAATTACGTCCTATGTTAAGTGTAGTATTTCAATAGAAAATGTATTTATACCCCTACTGTTGTATTAGCCATATGCTATATAACTCCACATTGTATAAAGTCTCTTTTTATAACTTGGCCATAACGATGGTAGGAAACCTGAGAATCAAGTTTCTTTGTGTTTTTTTTTGTCTTAGTTATTTTAAATAAACATCAAAAAATCTTTACGAGGTTTGCTTCTTTATATACTGTATATACATCTGTAAAAACATGAATATTGTCCAGCTGTATCATTACTCATGCACCCAAGACAATGCAATGACAGTAAAACCTTGGATTGCGAGCATAATTCGTTCCGGAAACGTGTTTGTAATCCAAAGCACTCGTATATCAAAGCACTCGTATATCAGTTGTGATCACGTGACACTCGGCAGACAAAGCGTATACACGTACTACTCGTATTGCAAGACCTCGCTCGTTTATCAAATTAATATTCATAAAAAAAAATTGCTCGTCTTGCAAAACACTCGCAGACCAAATAACTCGCAATCCAAGGTTTTACTGGATATATCCCATTTGGATTTTCCTTCTCTGATACTGAAGCTGCAACTGCAAGGAGACAAGCATTGGACAGGTTCCGCTTGAAGGAGAAAGTCTGAGATGGGCTAGTCAGGAAGGGATACAAAGGGTAGCTTGTCAATGCAATTTCATCCGCAGCAGCTCTGGGTTCAAAGGTTTGCACTGTGGCCCACTGCAGCCTGATTCGAAACAGAGGCGGCACCCATCCAAATCAATCTCAAGCCTCCACGTTCTGTTAAGTGCACGTCATATAGCTGTGTAAATCACTTGTCAATGACGTTACCTAATTATGGTTCTATCTTAAATCTGCTCTGGAAGTGCTGCATACATTGTAGACAATGTGTTGAATGCACTCGGCCATATTTCAGTCGTCAAACTAAAACTCGAGGATGGGACAGTCGTTAACGACTTTAGTTTAAAATGAGAACACTGTACGGTATGTTCAAAGTCAAGCTGCATCCTTGCCTTGTTAACGACTTTAGTTTAAAATGAGAACACCCTACGGTATGTTCAAAGTCAAGCTGCATCCTTGCCTTGTTAACGACTTTAGTTTAAAATGAGAACACCCTACGGTATGTTCAAAGTCAAGCTGCATCCTTGCCTTGCTAACACACGAACTGGGGAATTTCTCATTTCCAGCCAGTGGGTGACATAACTTCCTTAATCTCAGCGTGAGAGACATTCTACACATGACAACGTTTTACTCCCCCACAAAATATGAAAAACAATTCTGAACGGGGAGGATGATGCACTGAGTAACTCCATCCGCTTATAAGGCAAGTGTTCCACTTGATACAGTAAATTTGGCTGTGACGTTCCCACCTGAAGACGGAGACTTGTGTCGTGATTTAATGTAGTTATTTTCATTTACTATTATTTTATTTTATTAGTTATTATCTTTTTTTCCTACGTGACTTTACCGAAAAAACCTAAGAGTATGAATCCTTGCAGCCACGAAAGCTTAACATCTAGCTCCTACTTACCGAGATATACACACAACACTATCATGTTGCAGCCCTTTGTCAATCCACTGTTGGATGAGGGCCTCCCCCTGCTGTGTTGGGGAAAGGGATTGTTTGGCCATGCTTCAACACACTGGCGATGGAGTGGCCGAAAGGGCAGGACCCATTCGGATAACTTGCCGCTGATGTTAATCATGGCTCGAAATCGAAATCATGTCACCGAGTTCAAACGAAGAGTGTGCAAACCGCTACACCACCACTCCCCACCGTGTACACACATGTATACATTATACATAGGGGCCGTCCATAAATGACGTCACGTACCTGGGGGGGGGGGGGGGTCAGACATTTGTAACGATGTGTGACGAGGGTGGGGGGGTGAGAAATGTGACGTCACATTAAACTGCGCAACTTAAAATAAATATAGACAGCACGTTCTACTTAATTAAATATACTTTTTAATAAATATTTTCTCCTGCAATATCAGAGCGCAGCGCCACATTAAATACGCACTACAATGACAATAATTGAAAGCGATTTGAAGCATGTTTTATATTTTTTAGGGGGGGGGGGGCAGAGCTTTGTGACGTCATATTTGAGGGGGGGTCTGACTTTTTGTGACGCCGTGTGACGAAGCGGCGGGGGGGGGGGTCAAAAATCGTGTCACGTCATTTATGGACGGCCCCTTATTAAAAATAAACAAAGGAAACTTAATCTATAATCATATTTCCGACAGGCAGCGAATAATAATCATGATGATGATATGTCCATTCGAGCACCAGGGCAGGTTTTGTGGTTGGTGGAGAATGGAGCAAATTGGGGCATGCACGTGCTCACCCATCACACCCTGCCGTGCACAATTGGAGGCATTCTCCTCTCGCCAGGTGTGACTGACGTGGCGTGGGACGCCGTCTCACAAAGATCCCCCCCCCTGTGTAGCCTTAACACACTATAGGGGCAAGTGCTGTTAGCGAGCACCTATCAAAGCCGGCAAGGCACACGAGGGGGTGGGTTTCCAACACCACGCCCGGCCGCCTTTGTCTCCCTAGTGGCTATGTTTCCACATCACACCGGGTACTCATTTGAGGCTGGGTCGACCCAGGGGAGGCCCGCGACCCGTTGGATAATCGTCACTGGCGTTGGCCGTGAGCGGGAATCGAACCCCGGGTCTCCAGGTTCGTAGCGCAGAAGCGCGCTAACCGCTGCACCACCGCTCCCCGTCTCTGTCACACATCAACAGACACGCGTTTCAACCCAGCTCCGTGCTGAGTGGCTCAGTGTGGGCGTAACACAGACAGTGGCAGTGTAATCCCGGATGAAGAAAAACACATCCTTTTGTAACAAATAGCATGCATGTAAGTTCATGTTCCGTTAAATCGTGTCATCGTCGCCTATCTACCACGATTGTAATCAAAATCCAAGGCCGTAATTATAATATATATTGGAGGGGACACATCTCCCCCCCAATATTTAAATGTGCTCAACATGTCCCCCCCCCCCCCCAATATATTGCTATTAAATAGATTTATGTTTATATGATTGTGGTTATGGTTGTACTTTATTCATCCCTAATACAATGAAACAAGAAAAGGTTAAACATTTTAAAACATAGCAATTTAATACAATACACTATTCGACTTTATTGTAAAAAATAAATAAAAAGTCCATCCTGTGTGTTAGTGAATTTTTTAATATTTTAGGCAGGAAGTGGCAGGAAATTCGTTTTCAGATTTAGATTTTTTTTTTTCTGGGGTGGGGGACCCCCAGACCCCCTGGAAGATTTAGTCCCCCCCAATGTTGACTCCATGGCTATGGCCTTGTCAAAATCCCTATAGGTTGTAATTGCAGAGCACTGCGCTTTAAAAGTAGTTTGCTGAATAAAAAAAATATAGAAGCGCTGTAATTAAAGCCCGTGTTGAGTACTGTATATATTATGATCGGTAGCAATACATGTAGGTCAAGCGTGTGTTGACATAAGGGGCCCTCCATAAATGACGTCACGCACCTAGGGGGGGTAAGACATTTGTGACGATGTGTGACGAGGGGGGGAGGGGGGGGTTAAGAAATGTGACTTCACATCAAAATGCGCAACTTTAAATAAATATGAACTAAATAGAATTGTAATAACAACACAAATTTTGATTAATTGTCATTATTAACTATTTGATTATTTTAAATTACTAAGGTCACCTTTTATTAATTCCATGAAGGAGCATTTTGCTTCTCCATGGGAGAATGGAGAAACATATATTTTGTAAAAGAATGTAATGATTGTTATTAAAAATTTTGATTCTAATGATTCTACCAGGGCTTTTCATTCTGTGGAATGAATGTGATTGTTATAATTGTACTCTCCATTTTTCTTCGTTCTACTACAAAGTTTTAAATATTTTTTTAAGAGTTATAATTACTTTGAATATTTTATAATCATAAGAGAATTTCAATGTAATATTCTGAACATCTGCAGTTTAGTTAGACGTTGAATATTTTCAAGTGAATTTTATGCTAAATTTCCAACGCCTCCTTTTTAATATGTGTTTTCTCCTACAACATCAGAGTGCAGCGCCACATTAAATACGCACTACAATAACAATAGTTTAAAGTGATTTGAAGCATGTTTTATTTTCAAAATTGAAATATGTTTTTTTTTTGGGGGGGGGGGCAAAGCTTTGTGACGTCATACGGCCAAAATCGCGTGACGTCATTTATGGAGGGCCCCTAAAGACGTAATCGAATGCATTGAGGGAATCTGTGGAAAGAGAGTGCCTCAATGACATCTCGTCTGGATAAACAAAACAACGTATTGTAAAAAAAAACATATGAGCAATTGCCAAACAAAAGAAAGCTCGTACTGCATAAACCCCAACGCATAAAGCATTACAGCTAAACTGGAAAGTGCTAAGACAAAAAGACAAAGATCTCCCGTATAGCCTTAAATTGTTGGGACCAGTGCTGTTAGTGAGCAGCACCTATGAAGGCCGGCAGGGTACTCGAGGTGGGTGGGTGGCCAGCACCACGCCCGACCGCCTTTGTCACCCCAGTGGCGATGTTTTGACACACCGCCAAGATACTTATTTGAGGCCGAGTCTACCGAGACAACACAGGGCTCATACGCACACAGTGCAATACTCAAGCCCTGCCGCAAGGCGGCGGCAGTCGTTTGTTTCAAATCAAACCATTATAATATTGAATCTTGACTTAAAGCTTTCGTGACTGCAGGAATTCATATTCTTGGGTCTTTCGGTAAAGTCACGTAGATAGGTTCAAAGAAAATAACAAAAAACTACGACGTTTCAATCGCAACACAAGCAATCGTCATCAGGAGGAAAAAAAATTACGGGAAAAGCTGCAGAGGCAGGCTGTTGTAAAGGTTTGAAATTGGTGTAACCCAAGGGTCAAAAATGAAGTGGGCGGGTCTAGTGATGTTAAAGTGAGAAATTTGCATGTTAATGTAAGATCGGAGGTGGCTATTGTAATGTGAGAGATTAGCATGTTAATGTCGGCATCATCAGGAGGAACAAGTATAACCCGTAAAAACAAAGTTTTTCACTATAAATCCTTTATATGCGTGGCATCGGGGCGGCTAGAGTCCTCTCGTCCTCTGACTTGAGATGGCTGCCACCTATGGGTCAGATGATTGTCTGGCAGCATTAAACAATTGGTAATTAAATATTTAATTTTTTT